TTTCTTGATTTGATCATCGATGATTGATCAATTTCTTGCAAATATATTTCATTTTTGCTCGCATTTTTGCAAGATTTTGTAAATTTCAACAGCTCTCTCAGAAAGAAACTGCGACAGAATCGGCTAAAAGAAGGGAGCCGACGTTAACGAAGGTAAGTTTGTTTTAAATATTGATTTTATAATGGTTTAAAACCCGACGGCCTTTGCGTATATGAAACAACTAAACAAGACAGCATATAATTTTAGTGTATCTTTAATATTGATTCCCTTTTTTATGATATTGAATTTTTTAAATAAAAAAGAAAGCAAAGTCATTTGCAAGCGAGAATTCGAAATAATTTTATTGCAAACTCAAAGTCTATCGAGTATCGATAAGCCCTTTTTCTAGGCAGCTTAAGGACCTTAAGTTTACAAAGAACACTAGTGACTTTAAAACGTGACTAGTGACTTGTGGTTGAATTTTACCTTAAAGTGCCTATATCACTTGTGGGATATTTACGGATTTGGAAAGAGCACAAAAAGTTAGTTTGGAAGTTCTTCAACCTTTTTTGATTTGGTTCAGTATTTTCCGAGATATTGACCCTCAAACATGACAATTTAAAAAAAAACCCGTCGTGCTTGGGAGCCTGGGACTCAGGAACGCAAGCGTAAACAAACACTATAGAATTGTATTATATTTTGACGCTGTAACTTACTAAAGTGAGAATTTTTGCAAGAAAGGTCGGTTTATTAAGCTCAAAGTCGTTCTCTGGTACTGAAAAAAGTTCCTACGATTGCGCTGAATATAAAATTGAAGGTGAAACGTACAAAACCACTTCAAAATCAAATTTGAAAGTGCTCCTTCGTAGATGGCATCTAGCTTCGTCGAGCATGAAAATATTGGCATTTAAAGCTACACTGACGAAATATGGGCCAAAGAATACGTTTGAAAGTTGGAAGAATATAACAAGGAAATAAGGAAATTCATTTTCACATGAAACGGACCTTACATGTACAGTATATCGTGATAGTTCTTCGTATTAAAGTGAATAATATATTTTCTATATGTAAATGTTTTGCCATTTTCTATATGTAAATGTATTTGCCATTTGCAGTTTAATACCATATTTTGGGTTGTCTTTGAGTAATTATGTTTTGCAGCTTGAATTATTGGGATATAAAAATTAACTAAAGGAGGAGCTTTTTCGATTCTATTTTGTACTGTTGAAAATCACAATACATTTCATGATTCAATGATTGTATTAGCTTTATTGCTGCATTAGACCAATACTTGGCTTGAATTTATGGCTTTGCTGTTATTAAATGGTAAAGCTCCCAACATTCCAACCCTTGCCAAACAACCTGAACTTGTGAGGGTTGGAGCCATGATGACATCTGCAAGGATCCAGGCCAGTTTATGTGTGCCTGATTTGCAGGGCTGACCCTGTTTGAAAGGTCTTGTACAGATGAAAATTATTGAGTGGAAATTTATAGACATTTATTAAATATCCTTCTATACAAGACTCTTCAACTATTATTGAATTGAGTGAGAAGCCAGGTTCCCGGGAGCACAACCTGGAGACAAAAATTTCCTTTATTAGTGAAAAATGTCCTTTGTGCTAAATCTGCATGTGCATAAACATATAGTGTTCCAGCTGACCATGGTTTTAAATTCAAGGAATAATGTCTGTCAACCATATGTTGCTGCACCCATAGTGGGACATGGGCCGGTTTCCTTCAAATGTTACAGTCGATTTCACGAAACTTTGACCACAAATGTTCCGAACTTCGTTGCGAAGTTCGCAAGTTCGTTGCGAAGTACGGAAGCTCATATTGGAATTCACAAGCCAATTTGTAAACAAAGTCCCTGATTGGTCCGTGAAGTAGAAGAAGCCAATCAAATGCGTAGTTTACGAACAGGTTTGTGAATTCATTATGAACTTTTGAACTTCGCAACAATCTTGAGAACTTCGCAACGAAGTTCGGAAAATTTGTGGTCAAAGTTTCGTGAAATCGACTGTAATCAATAGCAAATCTTCATTCGAACAAATTTCCTGCAGCTGTTTAACATTTACTGCACATGAGCAGTGCTCACATATTTTTTCCACCCCTGTATATATTGGTTACAGCAAGCGCTGCACCGGAGTTGCAGGGCAGATTGGATTTCTGCCAGGGATCAGCAGTTGCATTTCGATTTTTCACAACTTTTCCTGGTTAGGTATAATAAATGCATATAAACTTCTACTCGATATACAAGACCCTTCAACTATTATTCAATTCTGTATAACCTGTCTTCCTAAGCTGTTCTTGTAGATCAAGTTTTTAAATAAACATTTTCCTGTACACAGTAGCATGAATTCAGTTTTTTTTTCATGACTTTGACTCCTTTGTCTGTTGATTTAAAAAAAAAAAAATAAACTAAGATAATATTTGTGCACTATGTGTGCTGTAACTTTATTAAATGCAAGTTAATGACAAAAAAATCAAGCATGCATTAATTAAAGTTGGACTATTAATGCCAAATAGAATTTTTGGTTTGTGTGATATTTGGGTCAAAATTCTAATAAGAAATGTAATGTATCTTTATAGTAAAAATTCACCTAATGATATCATATCTGGAAACTTTGACAGTGAAAAGGTCGATGAAGAAGGGATTTTTTATTATAGAGATAACATTTCTTCGAACGAATGACATATATTGCACATACCAAAAATCATATTTGTGGTTAGTTGTGTTTTAAAATTATATTTCTTATTTATCATTTTCCAAATATTCATATCTTTGAAGTCATCATCTTTCCCATTAAAAACTGTAGATAGTTTGTTAAACAGAACACAATGGTATTATTTCATCTTTTTTACAACCATGAGCTAATCTGGTGAATCACATGTATGCCACTGATATAAAGACCTAAAAGTAGAGATATAATTATACCTTAGACTTTAATAATGTATTCTTTAATCTTTAATCAAGTAAAGATGAGGCAAACCAGTGATCTGTTATACAGCTTATTCAAGAGTCAAGACACAGTAATCTGTGCAGCTCAATAAAATTATGTCAGTTTAGCATTTGCCTATAGTTTGTTTACGATACGGGCTAACTTTAAAAGAAGCCGGGCTAATTTCAATAGACGCTGGTCTAATTTCAATAGACGCCGGGCTAATTTCAATGGAAGCCGGGCTAATTTCAATGGAAGCCAGGCTAATTTCAATAGAAACTTCAAGAGAGCATGATGTAATTTTTCAAGTTAAACGATTGCAATTTTTACTTGAAGTATATCTATAACAACCTCTAAAGCACGAATTATACAGCGTTTGAAATAAGTGTGCAAAGTTTTGTAAGTTCAAGCCCAACTATTGCTTATCTTTTTGCTTGCCTTTTAATAAAATTATGTCAGTTTAGCATTTGCCTATACTTTTTTACGAAACGGACTAACTTTAAAAGAAGCCGGGCTAATTTCAATAGACGCCGGGCTAATTTCAATGGAAGCCGGGCTAATTTCAATAAAGGACGGGCTAATTTCAATGGAAGCCGGGCTAATTTCAATAGAATCTTCAGGAGACCATGATGTATATTTGGAAGTTAAATGATATATTGCAATTTTTACTTGAAGTATCTAATAACCTTTAAAGCACGAATTACAGCACAAATTACAGCGTTTGTAATAATTTTATTAAAAGGCAATAAGCAATATAAGCAATAGTTGGGCTTGAACTTACAAAATCTTACACACTTATTTCAAACGTTCTATAATTCGTGCTTTAGAGGTTATTAGATATATTTCAAGTAAAAATTGCAATCGTTAATCTTGAAAAAATTCATTATGCTCTCTTGAAGATTCTATTGAAATTAGCCCGGCTTCCATTGAAATTAGCCCGTCCTCTATTGAAATTAGCTCGCCTTCCATTGAAATTGGCCCGGCGTCTATTGAAATTAGCCCGGCTTCTTTTAAAGTTAGCCCGTTTCGTAAAAAAGTATAGGCAAATGATAAACTGACATAATTTTATTAAAAGGCAAGCAAAAAGACAAGCAATAGTTGGGCTTGAACTTACAAAACCTTGCACACTTATTTCAAACGCTGTAATTCGTCGCCTTAGACGTTATATTAGATACTTCATGTAAAAATTGCAATCGTTTAACTTGAAAAATTGCATTATGCTCTCTTGAAGAAATCCTATTGAAATTAGCCCGGCTTCCATTGAAATTAGCCCGTCCTCTATTGAAATTAGCCCGGCTTCCATTGAAATTAGCCCGGCGTCTATTGAAATTAGCCCGGCTTCTTTTAAAGTTAGGTCGTTTCGTAAAAAAGTCATAATTTTATTAAAAGACAAGCAAAAATATAAGCAATAGTTGGGCTTGAACTTACAAAACCTTGCACACTTATTACAAAACCTGTAATTCGACGTCTTAGAGGTTATTAGATATACTTCAAGTAAAAATTGCAATCGTTCGACTTCAAAAGATACATCATGCTCTCCTGAAGTTTCAATTCTATTGAAATTAGCCCGTCTTCAATTGAAATTAGCCCGTCCTCTATTGAAATTAGCCCGTCCTCTATTGAAATTAGCCCGGCTTCTATTGAAATTAGCCCGGCGTCTATTGAAATTAGCCCGGCTTCTTTTAAAGCTATCCCGTTTCGTAAAAAAAGTTTGGCAAATGCTTAACTTACATAATTTTATTAAAAGGCAAGCAAAAAGGTAAGCAATATAGTTGGGCTTGAACTTACAGAACCTGGCAAACGCTGTAATTCGTGCTTTAGAGGTTATTGGATATAATTCTTGTAAAAAATGCAGTCGTTTAACTTGAAATATTAATACCGCATGATTAATCTATTGAAATTAGTCCGGCCTCTTTTAAAGTTAGTCCGTCGCGTAAATAAGTAAGGCAAATGCTAAACTAAAGTAATTTTAATGGTATCCTTCTTTGCGAACCAGAGCAGGAAAGCGACTGCAGCTATGTCGTTTATAGCTATACGCGAACAAATAATATTCTACTTTGGTTATTATTATTACATGTTTTTCACAGCTTTGTTCTTATGCTGGCTATGTTTTTTCCTTGGAAGCTGGCTACAACCAGTAGCCTCAGGTCCCAAAGATTGTAGCTTTCCAAGCTTCTTCTCAGTATTCTTGCCGTACCTAACAATGCTGTTTTTGTAGAAGTTCTATTCTTATATGTATTCCCAATTTCTCAATCCACTTATCCAGTTTATTACTAACTGCTCCTAAGGCACCTACTACTATTGGAATGACTTCTACTTTTTTCATTGCCCATATTTTCCAAATTTCCCTTTTCAACTCCTCATACTTTTTTACCTTCTCTGTTTCTTTTATACCAATTCTACAGTCCCCTGGAACTGCGATGTCTATGATCTTGCATTCCTTTTCCTTCTTTAAAACCACTACAATATCAGGTCTTCGACATTCAATCACATGATCGCACTGTATGTTAAAATCCCAGAGAATCTTTACATTATCTGATTCAATTACTCAATTTGGTTGGTGTTTATACCATTTTTCAGCTTTCTCTAGTTGGTACAAACCACATAGCTTCCAGTGTACAATGCGAGCCACATTGTCATGTCTTCGTTTGTATTCTTTTTGTGCTAGCTTTTTGCATTCACTTATCAAGTGTGTTATATGCTCTCCCTTTTCCCCCACAAAGTCTACAGAGTGGAGATTCGACAGTTCTATCTATGTGAAACTTTACATAATTTGTCCTTAGAGCTTGTTCTTGTGCAGCACAAAGAAGTTCTTCAGTCTCAGGTTTCAAGTCTCCTTTCTTCAGCCACCACCATGTCTTCTCCCTATCCACTTCTTTACCTAAATCTCTGTTATATTGTCCATACATTTTCTTGTCAATCCAAGCTTTCTCTAGCTCCTCTACTGCTTTCTTCTTAAAATTTTCTTTTGTTTCGCATCTTTCCGTTTCAATCACACCTGTCTTTGCAACTTGTTGTAAAAGTGGTTCCACACTGTTCTTTACATACCATCCCAAACTGTTCTCCTCTGTACGAATGCATCCTTCATAACTGATCAAACCTCTTCCGCCCTTTTCTCTCGGTAAATATAATCGATGAATGTCGCTTCTTGGATGAAGAGCACCATACAGTGTCATCAGTTTACGTGTTTTGTGATCCATTGCAGCAATTTCATCTTTTGTCCATTTCAAAACAGCAGCTCCATACCTCAGTAGCGCAACAGCCCAAGTATTCATCGCCATGATTTTGTTTCTGCCATTCAGTTTTGATTTCAGCACCAGTCTTAATCTCCTCCCGTATTCCTTTACAAACTTTCTCTTCATTTCACCCTCCATAATTTTATCTAATTCCAGTATACCAAGACATTTATATCCATCTTCTTCTACGGACTTTATTGTTTCCTCATCAAGTAGCTGTATTCCATTACATTCCACAATCTTTCCTCTTTTCATTACAAGCATTCCACATTTCTTTATCCCAAATTCCATTCCAATGTCTTTGCTAACAATATGGATAGTTTTCACCAGTGAGTCTATTTGCTCCTTGTTCTTTCCAAACAACTTCAGATCATCCATGAATAGATGGTTGATTTTGAGTTCTTTTTCCGCGAAATTCATACCCTACCTTTTCCTTTCTCAGTATCAAGCTTAATGGTATCATGCACATCACAAATATCAATGGAGATAAACTATCTCCTTGAAAAATACCTCGTCTTAAATTCACATTTCCAAGACTTTCTCCCGAAGATGTTAACTCCGTTTTCCAGTTCTCCATACTACTTTCCACAAACGTTCTCACATTTGCTGCGATTTTGAACATACTCATACATTCCACTATCCAAGAATGAGGTACCATATCATATGCCTTGCGATAGTCTATCCAGATTGGCCGAGCTCATAGCAGCGAAGAAAGGCGAAGACTACTCTACGACCATGTCTGGATACGAGCCAAGGTCTCCTTTGCCATCTTGCGGTCAGCTCTACTTTGTCTCAGAGGGACTAGAGCACCCAGGAGGATAACAACGAACGTTCAAGAAACGGACTTCGAAGTAGACAATTCTCGTGCCAAAATTTAGGCTTA